CGAAGACAGAAGCAGCATATTCTTCTGAAACTACTATCTAAAGAAGCGGTAATGTTTCTAGAAGTCAAAACCACAACTTAAAGATGAAGGAACACACAAAACTGCTATATATAATACAATCACATAATCAATCAAGAATATTGTCTACCATAATATAAACATCAATGATATTTTTTTGCTAAAAGCCAACATTAATGTGTACCTAATATGTATACTTCACAACGGTGCATTTAAATTCATAGTGCTTTATGAAAGTAGGAAGTGAAGTTGTAACAGCTGTAAGAAGATTTCTCTATATTAAACTTGCAAACATAAAAGAAATCCCATGCACTGAAAGGCAGGCCACACATACAACCACAATACAGACAACTAAAAGGATGATAGAAGCAGGCTTTGATTTAGAGAATTACGTTTCTTTCAGCCATCAGCCTGAACAGGGCTTGGATGGATGAGACATTGGACAGATCAAGACAAACTCGACGGGATGGGGCTGAACCCTTTCGAAGGGGCTTGCCCGCAGAGCCTGCAAACTGGAAAACAAACCAATGAAATATGCAACCTTTTCACTTGCAGTACAGGCAGGGATGGGATGGAGGAATGCACTTTCAGTTACAAGCTTTGAACGCATCTGGTTAGCAATTGAGTGATTCCAAACATCCAGTTATTGACAATGTTAGGGCATCCATCAGACAATTCTCAACACTTTAACCAACACTGGAAGAATATAAAGTGATGTAATTCCAATTTGCAGATTTTATATGATATGCTGACACTTCAACCTGTTAAATACACAGCACAGTATATCAGTATTTGGAAACTTAATCACAACCTGGACCAGCTATGAAACTAACAATCCCAGAATTGAGACTGTGTGTCATTCTTGTTCCTACAGGTAAAAGAACTAAATGGCTGCCACCTTATTTATGAAGAAGTTCTCAACTGCCAACTGAAGTGCTAATAAATCCAATCATCCGAACTAGAACCAGTCATTTCATCACACATACCATCCTACATGCGACAGTACACTGAGGTTCTTGATCTTACTGAATTGTAATGCACATATTTCCTTATTACTCCTATACTGAAGAAGGAGGCGGCAGGTTCCATGGCTACATACATAATTTACACGGTATTCCAACCCAATAGATCATAATATAAACTTTCACTCTTATACAAGGTGTATCGGAAAGTCCCCGGACTAGGTCAAAAAAGAAATGTTGGCTTAACTTACTCAATTTTGGCTGTCATTTGCCTTCAAACAGTCTCCTTTGGAACGTATATAGTGATCCCATAGTTTCTTCCATGATTCAAAAGCACCACAGAAGTCATTTTCCTTAAGGATGTCAAGTACCTGCTTGCAATTCCCTTTGGATGTCAGGCTCTGTTTCAAAACGTAGTCCCTTCCGTTTCATTTTCAATTTGGGAAATAAAGTGAATCACAGGTGGCTAAGTCTGGCGAGTAGGGAGGATGGGGAAGGATAACCATGTTGTTGTTAGTCACATACTCTGTGGTTTTCAGGGATGTGTGGGCGGGTGCATTGTCATGATGAAGGAGCAATGCGACACATGTTCAAATTTTCTGTTAAGATCTGGCAAATTCCATAACTGATCCCAGCAGTGTCTCCAAGCTCATGGATTGTTTGGCGACAGTCTTCATGGATGAGTTCTCAAATTTCATCAACATTTTCTGTCATTTTGCTGGTGCTTGGTCGCCCTGAACATTCATCACCTTCAACTGACACTTAACCGACCTCGAAACGTGAATTACATTCAAAAACCACTGTCCAGCTTAAAGAAAGTTCTCCATAAGCCTCATGAAGCATATCAAGGGTTTCTGCAGTGGATTTACTGAGCTTCACATGAAACATGATGCATGCAGTCACATTGCTTGATTTTGCCATTCATCGTAGACAAAACAAAGCACAAAGTCGAAAAAACACTTATGTAAAAACAATGCATATCCACAGCACAGTGTCACATTGCAGATGGATGCAAAAGGTTTTTTGGAAGTGTGACCTTGGCCTCCCTTCTCATCTTCTTTCATCGAGGCAGTTCCAACAGTAAGACCGGGAACTTTCCGATACCACCCCATGCACAATCTCAAACTTCACATCACTGTTCACGTGAATGTGTCTGTATCTGTTTCTGTGTACGTGTGTGCGAGCGTGCATGTGTATGCATGTGCATGTGGGTGCGAGTCTGTAGCTGCTATAAAATGGTACTAAATGAAATTCAGTTTGCTTGTTCCAGTAAAATTTTGAGTTAGTTGAGCAATAATGTAAGTATTACCAGGCTTCTGCTCACTAAATATAAAGCCGTTCTCCACGATTGCCAAGTTTTCTCTTAATATGCATGGTCAGTCCAGTTTGCCCCAACAACCGCAAAATGTTCGTTTTCCTGTGCTTCTACTTTTGTAACAGACATCCGCCATTTCTCTCCATATATACACACAGAAATCATTTGATGAATTTTCTCATACAAACATCGCCAACCTAATCATACAGAAGAAGGGCCCTCAAAGGTTCTCATACTTACTTCCTCCATTTTCCACTTAATTTGAGGAAAATGATGCCCTCCTGCAGATATGGTCCAAACTGTTTAAATATTGTCATACCTACTTCACTGAAACAAAACTGGCATGGTGACACTTCATGATTTGAAAGATAACAAAGTAGTCTTTCAGTGTACAATTAATGATGCAGAAAGGTTTAAGCAGTTACAAAAACCTCCGAATTTGGAGAAGTCTGCATTACAACCTTCTTCTTTAATTGCCATTTGGCTAGCAGGAATGAAGTGAAGTCAGGATCCAGCACACAGAATGTTCACAATGAAGAGCGAAGTGGTTGGCCATCTGTAGTGAGTGATGATCTTGTTCAAGGTCCTGACCGAAAAATTTGTGAAAGACGGCCCCTCACAATTTCGGAACATTCCTGTGAATTTCCACAAAATTCATGCATTGGTCTCTAGAAGATTTTCATAATTAGGCTAGGCTATCACAAGTTTTGCACAGGATGGCTTCAAAAAATTCTCACAGGTGCAAACAAAAAGCAGGAAATGGATTCAGCTTCAACTTTTCTTGAGCAATACCAAAAAAATGATGAATTTCTCAGCCACATCATATGAGTCACAGGTGATGAAACCTGAGTTTCACTTATGAATGTTGAAACCAAAGAGCAATCACAGCAGTGGATGCATACACATTCATTGAACAACCCGAAAAAAGTTTAAACAAATGTTGTCTGCTTGCCAGAAGATGATGGCAACTGTTTTCTGGGACAAGAAAGGTGAGTGATGGTTGAATTCATGCAACAAGAGACCAGAATAACGCCAGAAGTGTACTGCAAAACACTAAAAAAACTGCACAGGTCCATTCAGAACAAAAGGCATGGAATGCTGACACAAAGTGTACTTGCAGTGCTTCTCTATGACATCTATGCCCACATACAGCTACTCTCACTCAAGCACTGCTGGAGCATTTCAACTGGAGGTTGCTTGGCCGCCTTCCTTACAACTTGCTGCAAGCTACTACCACCAGTTTACCAACCTGAAGAGCTGGTTACGATCACTGTGCTTCAACAGCGAGGGGTTGACAGAAGGCGTAAAAACGTGGCGGAGCTCATGGATGGCAGACTTCATCAACAAAGGCATACAAAAACTTATTCCCCGATACAATAAATGCCTCAATTCCAGCAGTGATTATGTTGAGAAGTATCTTAAGTATGTACTTATTTCTTGTATAGTAATTTTTTTTCTCATTGCTTGTTTTGTTGGGAGCTCACCAGAAGTTGCTTTCTGAATAGTCCTCGTATTTTCATGCTGAACTACTTGCGACTGCTAACAGGGAAGTAGGTCCATTGTCTTGGATAAGAAATGTTGCAAAATGAACTACAAAACATAAAATCGGGTAAATTTTCTGGAAAAATGAAGTGGAAATTCAGGGAGAACAGAAAGTTGCGTAAACACAAAATCTGTTAAAGTTTAACATTATGTAATGGCCATTTGGCCGAGTCCATGCAAGAAGTGCTAAATTCATGAAAAACGTAAAATCCAGGATTGTAAAATCATACTTTCACTGTAACTGTATGGTCTTTGTAATGGAGATACAGTGTTCTCTGTGAGGCACAAGGGCATTTTTTAAGTGTAATGTAAATGAAATTCACGCTTAAAGGGTTAAGCACATTCAAAAGAATGTGAAAGGGATTTCAAATTCTTAATAACATTCTTCCCCACCTCCGCTTCAATATATTTCACACTGTCTTTTATAGTAGAGCTGAAATCAGTGTAGATTGCCTGTTCACTGTGGACTACTACTAAACTGTGATCATCCTTCTTGGTATCAGACCTAGCTGGCCTGTTTACAGACATTAGTGAACAGAATCCACACATCTCTTCAAAAGAGTATTCCTGTGGAATGATATTATGCAAGTATTTGTTGTTTTAATTTCTTAATATGTGTTGGATTGAGAATTCAAATGACTGTCTGATGATGCCCTTACCACTACTGACTTAGGACTTACAAAAAACAAAAACTGTCAACTGCTAACTCTTAATACCAACTACAGGAATATTAATAAATGAGCTTATGATTAGCACAATTAATTAAGAAATTGATTTCTTAGTACAGTCAAATAAAAAAGAATAAATTATCTGTAGAGAATTTCTAGGTTATGATAAATATTAATTTAATATGAAGAATTACACTAATATTAAACACACTGAGAATTAATCATATATTTATCACATGATACTAAACAAAGATCACTTATATATATCATAAATATATCACTGCTGAAAGACCAAGCAGCCTTTTGTGCATAAAGGACAAACAGAAATCTGCTTTCAATAGCTCATTTCTGCAGGTCTGTTACCAGACTAGAAACACAGTGCAACATAAGGAGAGGTAAGGCCACCAGAGGACCGCACAAACTTCTGCTCATCCCCACAGCAGAACTAAGAGCACATCGAACACCATTCAATTAATGTAAATTAGTATAACTTACCAAACTATCAGATGGCCTGTAGTAATAGCTGCGATCTGGAAGCCCTAGTCCAGCTGGGCTCACCTGCAAAATTACATTATGTCAGCTTTTCACGGCAGTTTCTTGCAGAGTTACATTTACATTTGTGTGGAGGGCCACTGGGCAATCAAAATATGTGGGCTCTTATCAGCAACAACAAATATGGGTTATTACAATCCCCCTCACCTAATTTCTTGTAACTAAAAATAGAAACTAACTTTCGTTGGTTTTAGAGATGCACATGTCTCAGTAAAATCTGTGGATTCTGTGCCTGTTTAGCAGAGGCCCCTGGGCAGCTGTCTTAGTTACTCCCCCTTAAGTATAGCCCATGTTTCTTGAAACGTGTGCATGTATTTTTGGCATCAAGGAACAAGTATCAGTTCTTTAGCCCATTGTTGACTAACTTCGTCTCTGAGACCTTATCTGTCAGTCTGTCTCAACAGTTGCACCATGTCCCTCAGACGATTTCAAGTGAGCCATATAACTGTACCAGTCCTTCATCTTTCCTTTGACTAAAATATGTATTTAATTTATCAATATACACCAAAAAAGCTCTGAAAATAAGATAACACTACAACAGCTGGGACTTGCTGCTATTTAAATGTCACTGCATAGGCAAGGACAGTGCCACTTAAGAGATCTTCCTAATTGCATCAAATGACTGAACCAATACCACAATGTTGACAGCAGATCTGTTGGACCATTTATTACAGTTTATCACATTTTAGAACATCAACTATTGTAAACTCTGTCAATATCTTTTTGTTTACTTTCCCTCTGGCATTTAAATGAAATGTGTTCTAGTGTCTCATCTTGCACAAAAACTTTCCATATATGAGTACACACAAAGGTGGCAAAGGTTAGGGAAAGACTGGCAGTGAGAAAACAAACGATGCACAGACTTCATAAGAAGAGGTTCAATCTCAAGAAATTAAATGAAGTAGAGGGTAAATAGCAGTATCTGGTTGAAATCTCAAATTGGTTTGCAGCTTTGGAAAACTTGGACACTGAGGTAGATGTTAATAAAGCTTGGGAAAATATTAGAGAGAATATAAACATTTCTGCCATGGAGAGTCTAGGTTATTATGAACTGAAGAAGCATAAGCTGTGGTTCGATGAAACCAGCAGGTACTTCAGGAATAAAAAGAGGGAATATCTGAAAGACAAAATTAATGAGCTTGCAATGAACAGTAAGAACAATAACCTGCACAGAGTCACCAACCTAGAAGTAACTTAGTGAAGGATGAGAATGGTGATCTGCTTGCAGATTCCCACAACATTCTGAATAGGTGGAAGACTACTCTCAGTTATTGAATGTACATAGGGTCAGTGATGTTGGGCATATAGAAATGCACACAGCTGAGCCATTATTACCTGATCCCAGCCATTTTCAGGTTGAAATTGCTACTATAAAATTGGAAAGGTATAAATCACCAGGTAGTGAACAAATTTCAGCAGAACTTGTTCAAGCAGGAAGTGAAATATTTAGTTATAAGATCCATAAGCTAATTAATTTTATTTGACATAAGGGAAAATTGCCTGATCAGTGAAAGGTGTCTATCATTGTATCAATTCACAAGAATGGTGATAAAACTGACTGCAGTCATTATCGGGGGATATAACTGCTATCAACTTCATATAAAATTTTGTCCAATATTCTTCTCTCAAGGTTAAGTCCATATATAGATGAAATTATTGGGGATCATCAGTGTGGGTTTCGACATAACAGATCGACTACTGATCAGATCTTTTGCATTCGTCAGATAATGGAGAAAAAATGGGAGTACAATGAGACAGTACATCAGCTATTCATAGACTTCAAGAAAGCCTATGATTCAATTAGGAGGGATGGTATTGTACAATATTCTGTAGAGTTTCGGGTACCCATGAAAATAGTTATGCTGAGTAAAACGTGTTTAAATGAAATGTATAGTAAAGTCCATGTAGGTAAATATGTCTGACAATTTTCCTATCCAGAATGGTCTAAAACAAGGAAATACTTTATTGCCACTCTGTTTCAAATTTGCTTTAGAATATGCCATTAGGAAGGTCCAGGAAAACCAGGTGGGACTGAAATTAAACAGGATGTGAATCTACTGGGTGATAATATTGTGACATGCTGAGCTATGGATGCCCCCCCCCCCCCCCCCCCCGCCAGCCGTGATGCGCCGAGCGAAGCCGAAGCGAGCCGATGTTAGCCGAGTCCTAGCATCCTGGTCGCTAGGCAACGCGAGTCAACAGCGGTGACGTCACCAAGTAGTAACAGCGGTTACTTCCGGACAGCGTGGCTAGCAACAAGGCACCAGACGACAATTGTCCGATCAAGGCTAAATAAGGAGCAGCGAAAACTATCCATAGTCAGTTGTACTGAGTCAGTCAGTGAGTCCTCGAGCTACCTCCGAGTTAGTTCCGAGTTAGCCAGCAACCAGTCAGTTGTATTGTGGCATTTGGAGTGTACTAATTGTGATACTGCAGATAGCAGTAATCGTAAATCTGTAATTTGGGTGATTGTAAGAGCGAATGTGAAATAAAATTCGCTATATAAAATATGGTGTGAAGTTATTTGTCGCGATATACGTCCGATACGCGACAATATATATACCATAAAGAAAAAATACACAAACTATATTTGACANCTCTGTTTCAAATTTGCTTTAGAATATGCCATTAGGAAGGTCCAGGAAAACCAGGTGGGACTGAAATTAAACAGGATGTGAATCTACTGGGTGATAATATTGTGACATGCTGAGTTATGGATGACGCCCCTCCCCCACCCCCCGCCAGCCGTGATGCGCCGAGCGAAGCCGAAGCGAGCCGATGTTAGCCGAGTCCTAGCATCCTGGTCGCTAGGCAACGCGAGTCAACAGCGGTGACGTCACCAAGTAGTAACAGCGGTTACTTCCGGACAGCGTGGCTAGCAACAAGGCACCAGACGACAATTGTCCGATCAAGGCTAAATAAGGAGCAGCGAAAACTATCCATAGTCAGTTGTACTGAGTCAGTCAGTGAGTCCTCGAGCTACCTCCGAGTTAGTTCCGAGTTAGCCAGCAACCAGTCAGTTGTATTGTGGCATTTGGAGTGTACTAATTGTGATACTGCAGATAGCAGTAATCGTAAATCTGTAATTTGGGTGATTGTAAGAGCGAATGTGAAATAAAATTCGCTATATAAAATATGGTGTGAAGTTATTTGTCGCGATATACGTCCGATACGCGACAATATATATACCATAAAGAAAAAATACACAAACTATATTTGACACAAGTAAGGAGGTTGGTCTAGAAATAAACACAGAGAAAACTAAGTATATGTTGCTGTCTCATCACCAAATTGCAGGGCAAAATCTGACATACAGATAGGAAACAGATGTTTTGAAAATGTGGCACAGTTCACATATTTGGGGATGAATTCGGGTAATGCTTGCTATCATTCAGTCCAGAACCTTTCATCTGCTCATCTGCTGTCTGGAAATGTAAAAAATAGAATATACAAAACTATAATTTTGCCTGTGGTTCTGTATTGGTGTGAAACGTGTCCTCTGACATTAAGGGAGGAAGATAGACTGAGGGTGTTGAGGAGAATATTTGGACCGAAGAGAGATGAAGTGACAGGAGGTTGGAGAAAACTGCATAATGAGGAGCTTCATAACTTGTACTTTTCTCCAAGTATAATTAGAAAGATCAAGTCATGGAGGATGAGGTGGGCAGAGCATGTAGCACGAATGGGAGAGAAAAAGAATGCATATAAGATATTGGTGGGAAAGCCAGAAAGAAAGAGACCACTGGGAAGACCAAGGCATAGGTGGGTAGACAATATTAAAATGGATCTTAGAGAGATAGGATAGGATGGTATGGATTGAACTGATCTGGCTCAGGATATGGACCAGTGGAAGGCTCTTGTGAGCACAGTAATGAACCTTCAGGTTCCAAATGTTGGGACATTCTTGAGTAGCTGCAGAATTGGAGGCTCCTCAAGAAGGGCTCAGCTCCATCAGTAAGTAAGTAATATGAGTACACATATTAGATGAAGTCTACAACCCCAAATTGTTCTGCTACCAGTACACCAAGTCCTCTTGCAGTAACAATTGACTGCATCAAATGTTTGTATCAGACTGGGAATTTCAATACAAATCAATTTACCACAGCTACTACATGCTACTAGTAGATACAGAGCTTTTCATACTGACTGCAAAATAAAAGAGTCTGGGCAAGAAGGAAACTTGTTAATTTCGTAACTTCAAAATAAACAGTTTTTAGGATCACACATATTTGACACAATTCATCTCAAAATTTCACTGAGAACATGATGTTACATTTCTGAAACACAAAATGAATGAAATCGATGTGAGAAAACAACATTTGAAAGCAAAGGATCAACAGGAAAAGTGACAGAATAAGAACAAGTTCGAATGTCCTCACTGGTCACTCTAGATCCCTGTTACTCAAAATTGCTGATTTCTACATACTCCAGTATGACTGAAAGCATGATTTCATTTAATTATGAATTTAAATCCAGTGCAATGTTCTATTAATACTTTTCAGTAAGACACAGCACCACCTCAACTTGGCATATCTTTATATCAAGTACCCTTATAATGATATTCTGACCTGGTATGGTCACTACAAAATTGAACCAGTAGTAAGATTATCGTCTGTCAGGATGTGACACCAAGTAGTTTGGTACACAGGTACCAACATTTCCATCATCATGCTGGAACACATGGATGGACAGAGTAGGTTCCTCCAAAATGATGGTATCTGTCTACCAAACTACTATACTAATGAACTATCCTTTCATCCTACTCAGTGATATCTTAACATGCAAAAGTTGTTCACCCTCACATGTGATAATATTCCTGTTGTTCTGGGTTTTTCTCTCACCTGTATGATTGACTTTATGGGATCCCTTGGGTCAGGTACTACTGTCACTTTGAAGAATGGAGACACACCATATAGGGCATGTAAATGCTGGAGTGCTTGTCGATAGTCCCACGAGTGAATTGAGAATTCACGTAGTACATGCCAACCTCCTGCATTAACAAAGACATGCTTCCTTACAGTTCTCACATGTTTAAGTGACACTCTTCCACAATCGAAACTGCAGACATTATCTGAGGGAAGACTAAAACGCATAAGTACTCAGGACAATATGTGGTTCCTACACAGAAGAAAACAGATAACTGAAAATATTACACAGAAAATTTCTAATTTAGAAGTTCAGTCTAGTATCATTAGGATAGCAAAATGAATGATTTATGATGGGCTGGATATCTGGACATGTCAGAATGGAGGGGTTGCAATCCCTAGTTTCATATATTCTATATATGAAACTATACTTCAAAAAACAATGTGAGGTTTGAGATTCTCATAGTGGCAAAATAGAATCATCCGGAATGTGATGCCATGTAACTTGGTACATACTCGAACGTAGCAACAGTTTAGAGGGGCCCAGTAGCTCCATCTTCAGGGCAGAAGAAAATATAACTTTGTTCACAAAATTACATGGCATCACATCCCAGAAGACTGTATGTGCACATTTCAAGAAACAAGCTGTAAAGATGTAACAAACAGTAACTTCTTTTGCCACACAAATCTGTAGCTATATTTTAATATATTATACATATTTCAGCATCCTGTTGCATTGAGGCATCATTCCTATTATTCAGGTACACTGTCAATAATGCAACAATGATATGAAAGACATCTAAAATATATTATTCCCTAAAAGTGTAACTTTAATATTTTAAACTGTTATGAAATATCATAAAATGTCATTAAGACACTGCCAGTATATCTTATACACTACACTAAAAGTGACTATCAAAATACTTCAAAAAGTCTTTTGTTTTTACAATTTTGTAACATATTTCGGCTGCATGTGGGCCATCATCAGGCAATTTTTAATTTGTGGGGAGACCACTGCACTGTCCAATTGTCTTTCATGCTCCCATGCACGTCGTTTTTTTGTTGTATACTAGAATATACTAGAATATACTACAGTATACTAGAATACTGTCATTGTATTCCTTTTTCAGCCATCATAGTTTTGTATGTCGATTTTGTAGCTGTTTCACTAATGATGCTACTATGAACAGCAATAAATAATTATATACGGACTTTGACTAAACTTTCCTGAATTCTATTGCTCATATTGTACTAACAACCTCCTCAAAACTTGTCTTCCATGATAAAATAATAGGTACAATAGGTACTCAGGGCCACGCCATAGCTCAAGCTGTTAGTTGCTGGCTTCCCACTGCGGTGGCCCGTGTTCGATCCCGGGTCTTGTCAAGTGGGATTTGTGGTGGACAAAGTAGCGCTGGGGCAGGTTTTCTCTGAGTACTTCTGGTTCCCCTGCCAATCTTCATTCCACCAACTGCTCCACAATCGCCCTCACCTATCATCTGGGCCAGAAGTGGCCGCAGTACAAGGGACTTAGTCCCACCACACTAGCAATAAAAAAAAAGACTGCACTTCTAATAAACAATTATGAAAATGAAAACAACGTTTGCAATACCCATCTGATTAATTATTTTTCGCAGAGGTGTGTACTTGTCAGATTCAATGGTGTCCAGAGCCATGCATGATTCATACAGACGAGTCATCTTCCATTCAATTGAACTGTCTCGTGTTGGATGTGGCAATGTTGTGACCAAGGACCGAATAGCCTCTCGATCTGGAAACATATTATACATAAGATGGTCATTTTTCATGTCTAATAAAGTGTTATCTAAATGGATATGAACAAGTACATTACCCGATTAAAGAATACTTTTCCACAATCCCAAGGAGATTTCAAAGCCAAAAATACTTTTGCATCAAAGAAGCAATATTAGCAGAATTCCACGCTAAGTGACTGGACATGGCCTTCATTCGATTCCCGGCAGTGTAAGATTCTTCTCTTCTCCACAGCAACCAGACCGACTCTGGAGCCCACACAGCTTCCTATCCAATGTGGACTGGGGGCTCTTTCCCCGGGGGTAAAGCGGCCGGGGCATGAAGCTGACCGCTCATCTCCATCTAATGCTGAGGTCAAGAAAGGTGGAGCTATACCTCCACTCCCCATAACACTTCATGGCATAGTTCTTAAAAAAATAAGCACAGGAACAACTTTACCTTTACTGCCTGTGTTTATTACTATATTTATCTTCTTACTGGTAGCACGATCTATTATTTAGTCTCCCACAAATCTATGTTATGATTTAATGTTTTCTGCACTACGTGGTCTATACTGTAGATCTTATAATTTAAGTTTTACTGGTACTTACAATACTGTAATAACGGTATTCTTACTAAGAGGAAAACTCCTGACATTTACGAAAATGGATCTAGTTGGAAAAATTACGTATAAATGGAATAAAATTATTTTACATACAACATACATACAAAACATTTCCTGTTTACATCTGTAATAGGTATTTCAGCCTAAGGATGAAACTTTAGCAAGGAAACATGCCACCCAGTTTATAAACTTTGTTAATAAAGACATGTTGTGTGACTGTATACATAACCTGTTTGGATAGTCGAAATACTCAATGGGATACAGAAGTATAAGCTTGAGTATAAAAGGATATTCTTTATCCCATGGATACATCAGGTTAGAAAAAGTTACTCACTCCTGAAGGCAATCTCCTCATCTTGATTCCATTTACTACGTGCTGCAGGAGGCAACACATGGTCCTTGAGCCATCCGCCACATGCGTAATTCCAGAAGTCATCACATGGAGCTACACTTCCATTCATCTTCGGTAGCATCTGGAATTAAATCACTTGAGGTTATTTATTACAGCAATACAAGCAAGTAATAAAAAAAAAAGTTAAACTATCCCTGTAACAGGCCGTGAAGACCCATAGGGTTGTGAGACGTTGAGGGTCCCACACTATGTAGACAATCGGCTCAAAGATGACGGTAAGGTTGTCAGCCTTACGAGCCGGCCGCGCGTATGTTACGGCAGTAACATAGTAATACCTAACATTCATGATCAAATTAACGGTATATTAAATTCTATAAATGCATTTAACCTGTCTTATGCACCTTGGTTAACGCTCCATTATGAAATCAGTTCAGTTGGATACGGTGCAAATATTATGTTTCTGGACATTATCCATCGCCCTGTTTTTGTCTAAAACACTATCATGTTTTTATTTAAAAACACACCGTCTAGGAAACTGCATTATGTCTCCATTTTTTAGGTATAACCTACTCAGTTGGGCCCAGTCCGTATCAAAGACATATTGCGTTTAAAAATAACACGACGGGGCTTTAGACGATGGGTGATGGATAATATCCAGACATATAATATTTGCAATAATGTACCATGGATACGAAATTTTAGATCTTATGGACACGGTGCCTTCAAATCATTATACGAATAAAATACACGTACATAGGAATTACTGGATTTTGGGCTTTTTCCATCGTCCGGAATTCTAGGTAATAGGGGACACGACGTTTCGGAAACTGGATCTGTTTGCGTCTTCAGATGAGAAAGGAAGACACCTACTCCGTTGGGCCCCTTAGAAAGAGCTAATCTCAATCACTGGACAACTCCTGTCGTGTACTCTATTACATAGAGTGTCCTCTATTATCTAGAATTCCGGACGATGGAAAAGGTTAAAAAACCCAGTAATTCTGTGTCATCCACCATCGTCAGCACCCTTCAGAATCTAAAATATATAGGGCCTATGCCCGAACTGCTCCTAAAAGACGGCTGAATTGAGTCGTTTCTAGCAAGGTATAGGAATAAGCCACAGAATAGAGCATCTGAACCAATCAGTACCATAAAAAAGTACTTCCGAATTGACCATTTCTGCAGTAGCCACACAGCAGACGTGCGCTGCAGTAACATGGTCTAAAGAGGCAAATTACGTATGAAGTTCCAACACTGAAGGGAACTTAACCTTTAAAGGGGCACATACACGTACGAGTCTGGCTCGCGAGTCGGACTCGGCTCGGGTTCCAACGAGCCAAACTCGTCCGTGTGTAGGTCGCAAAGTATGACAGTCAGCTTATGCGTTTGTGGTGAAATTAATCCGAGCCCAGCTCCCGAGTCAAGCTCGCCGAGACGGACACGCGAGCCAGACTCGTACGTGTATGGGCCCCTTGAGAGACTAAGAGAGCTGATGAGGCTGACAAAACAAGATTCGACTGCAGTCACAATCCGGAAACTTATATCGAAAAATTGGAAGGACTGGGATTGCATCCAATGTGACTCCTCTTGGAGACAGAAGTGAAAACAGTTCTTCTATAAATTGAAACGAGTGAAGTCTGAATCTTATCATGGCAGCCATATTGAACTGGCTCAGTCCTACCCGCTGAGCCATCAGGGTACGAACACACTGGCCACCATGCAATTTGGTCGCTATATTTGCATCTATCCGTCATATAATTTCAATTTACGATATGTTCTTGGTAAATTAAATTTCCGTTTAGTAACGCCTAATGAATCAGTACATACCGGAAAAAGAAGCACTGCCCGTCCTTTGTGACCTGGCTGTTCTCAAAAGAATGTGCAGTGGGTTTGGTCGAGTCCATTTACAGAAATGAGGATATTTCCACGGATTTAGTAGAGTCCATTAACATAAACGATACATCTGGTATGTCTGAGTTATAACAAGAGCTTTAGTTACATTGTGCCATCCTCCCTCTCTACCGCAATGTTGATGCAACCACTGCCCTGCTACTTCTTGTTCCAAATCTCCTCACGAGCAAGCCAGGGGCCGAGTCTAAAACACTGACTGTACACTCGTAGTGAGATTCAGAGCTATCAAGCATGACTGTGTTTACTTCCTATGTACAGGCATTCCACGGCCAGTACAACATAAATTTTCACTGCTGAAGCAAGCCGTCCCAAAGTTCTGTATTGCTGAAACAAACCGGGAAAGGAATTTATAATATTATTAAATTATGTGAAGTGCAAGAGAAAGGTCAGCTTACATTTCCACTATGTAAAACATGTTAAACTGATCTCATCTGTTCCCTAAAATCCCCGGACCCCCGGGACATGACTCCAGATCCACAAGGCAACACAGTCCATGACCGACTCACATAGCAACCTAAACCCCCCTTTAGGGTTAATGCCCTCCCATTAACCTTGCCTTTCTTTCCAGACACAATATCCTATACCTGCCCTAACCTTGCTCCTGTCCCAGACCCTTACCCTCTCCCTCTCCACTGATTTCCCATGTAGACTTGCCCCTTCCTTCCCTGCTTTCATTAGCTGAGTCTGCTTGCGCCTGTTCTCACTGCTTCTTCGCTTGTGGATTTTCTTCTTTTTCCTTCTACCCTGAAGATGGAGGTGATACGTTCCTTCGAAACGTCGGTTAACACCAATCTACACGGTGCCACATCCTAGAAGACTGTTTTCTTCGTGTTAAACTGATATCGGTAATGCTCAGATTCGAAAGTTGCGCAATTATTTGGTTTAGGTGTCTTCTGACACGAACTGTACCAGTTTTCTTCGTTGCCCTCTTCAAAGCATCCGATTCTATTCCTTTTTATTGCTAGTGGGGTGGGACCGGTGGGACTAAGTCCCTTGTACTGCTGCCATTTCTGGCCTATTGTACCAGCCCCAGATGATAGGTGAGGGTGATTGTGGAGCAATTGGGGGAATGAAGATTGGCAGGGGAAACCGAAGTACTCGGAGAAAACCTGCCCCAGTGCCACTTTGTCCATCACAAATCCCACTTGACCAGACCCCCGGTTCGAACCCGGGCCGCCGCTGTGGGAACCCAGCGACTAGCCGCTTGAGCTACGGCGCGGCCATCCGATCCTACCGTCATCTAATACCCAGTGAACTACCAGTATTTGCCACTTTACATAACGGTTTGAAGAATGAAGGAAGGTGGATTTTGGACACCACTTTCTCCATGTGCAGTACACGCATTATATTCCGTCTGCTAATGGCTTCCCACGTCCGCCTACACCACACTGTTTCCTCATTCCTTTTTGGGGTTTTAGAGTTAGAACTTGAACAGGTAGGAAGATGGGTGGGCTCCAGGGCCGGTGTAGACGTTACAGTAAAAAAGGACCATACATACTTCAGCATGTGAACTTCACCATGGCAGTTCCTGCTACAATCCACCACACACCAGATCATTTCGTGCGATCACAAGGCAATTTCCATTTCATCAAAAGTGGCATTAATAAAGGCTGCTTCAATTTTGATATCTATCACCTTACACGGTGGTAATATCTTAAATCTGGCCACGACTGCTTTCTTTTTGAAACATTATTAGCTGTCATCCAATCACTCGATACTATCTGTACAGTCCAACTCCCTGACAGCGTCATTAAATGAACTGTAAATAAACAGTAGTCCCCTTAACGGCTACTAATAACTAAACCATTATTTAAAGACATTTTTAAACTACATAGGCTACACAGAGTAGAATGATGAACAGGATAGCTTATGGATTATCTATGGCACAAGAGTAGCATTTGCTTGGGGAGTAGCGTAAAACAATGAGATACCTCAGTCAGGACAGCCAGTCACCAAACAGAGATCAGGACCCGAGATCTCCAGGAAAAGTGCGTGGCTGTCAGCACAACCCCTACATTAAAAGACTCCTATTTTTTCCACCTCAGAAATTCGCATGTTAAATTTTAAAGTGAGAATGTTAGATATTCCAAGTTGGCCGGCCTCCAATGGCATGATGTTAATACCGAATTTCTCGAATGTCCATAAACCAGTATAAGCGTGATTTCCTTATTACAGCAATTTATGGACAGACTTTCGTGAATACTGACTTCGTAAAGTCGGGATAGTAGTAGTAGTAATAGTAGTACAAAATTCGCTTAGTAGGGGGTGGAGTCCAACTGGGTCCACTCCGCACGGCGGCCACTGATTGGCCTATTTTAGCCTGCCCCGGGAGATTATGATGGAGAATTTGGTGGAATGAAAATTGGCAGAGGAAACCGAAATACTCGGAGAAAACCCGACCCAGCGCCACCTTGTCCACCACAAATCCCACTTGACCAGACCCGGATCGAACCCGGGCCGCGGCGTTGGGAAGCCAGCGACTAAGACCTTGAGCTATGGTGCGCCCCAACACTAGTACGTAAAGGACTGGCGTCACTGCTGACCCTTGCACCGTGACCTTCAACGATCTGTTGTGCATTAAGAGTTGGGATAACTTGGATGGTATAGCAGCTAGGCTATCGGCTGGACGACCGAGAAGTAGGGATTCGATTCCCTGTAAAGGCAGGAGATTTTTCCATTCTCCATATTGTCCGGACGGCTTTAGGGCCAATCCAACCTCCTACCAATGGATACGATGGGTTCCTCCCCCAGAGGTAAAATAGCAAGGACGAGAAGCTAACTACTTACCTCCATCTATAGACGAGGCCAAGAATGGTAAAGCTTAATCTCCAAATCCTCCAAACGTCTTCATGGCGTGATGTTAAATTATTTAAGCCCATGAATAAATTTATCTTTACTGATTTCCCAAAAATACATGACAAGAACTGGACGTTCAGGCAAGCAGAACGTTAATAGCGTCCTAAGAAGGAACCCTTTTAACTCTTCGAAATATTCCACAAATGACGACCTTAAGCCAGAAAATATACAGAATAAACCCGAACGTCTGGAACCATGGACAATATCCGAGTATTTACACAGCCATTTCAAAATGTGTTTAGTATATCCACCATTCATACGGACGGAACTGCGCATACAGTTTTGCCACTCCAAGAGAAGGGCTTGAATTGTGACGTGACGGAGACAAATGGCTCTCGTAGGGGTTCAACACTGCGT